CAAACTCAGCATAAGTCATTTTCATCAAATGCGTGGTTTTAGAAGATCAATTTTGAGAACACATCCAATCACTTGGGCAATAGACCGTAAATATTTATACTATTTTAAAAAGCATGAATAGCCTCAGTAATATTTCTGAAATTTTTTGAGCACAAAATTTATCCTTCCATATTTAAATTTGTTGATAACAAATGAGGGAAAAAGGGTAATCAATTATTAATATTAAATGAACTGAAAAGATATAATTATAAGATATTCAATTTCTTATCATTAAATCCAATACTTAAGGTATTAATTTGCATTCACCTTCATTGAATCATATATTTAAGGCATTTTTATTTTTTCTCATCATTAAATTCTATTAATTAAATCCATACATAAAAAATAATAATTCCAGTAATATAAAAACATACTTTTAAAATCTACCTAACAAAATAGTGTTTTCATCTAGACAATGATAAGAAATTAAACCATTTCAGGTCAAATGGGCCAATCCATGTTGTCACAATTAAATAATAAAATTCAAAAATAGATGAAATGAAAAAATATAGTAATTAAAAAATGAAAACACTTTTAACATCATATATTTGACATATTAAACAATAATATGTATGATAATTAAGAAATGATTTTATTAATGATGGAAATGGAATGTAAAACTTAAAACCGATTAAAATAAAACTATTTTCCTATTCTCTCTCATTAAATCTCATATTAAGGTATATTTTCTTATTAAATCCACAAAATTAATTTTAATATTATGAAAATAAATATTTTGAAAAATAATTTGCAAACAAAACATTTTTCTTCCCTCCCAATGGTGGGTAAGCAATTCAATCATTTTGGGTCAAATGGGTTAATAAATAATGTCATAATTAAATAATAAAAAATAAAAAAAAAATTAAAGAAGTAAAATATATAATACAAAAAATAAAAATAATTGGATATATCTAATATTTAATATTCATTATACTAAACAAAAATATGTATGAAATGTAATAAGTAATTTTATTAATGATGAAAATGGAATGCCAAAGTTAAAATCAACCTATAAATGAAATGATGTCATAGTCAAATAATAAAATTTTAAAAAATAAGAAATATAAATAATAACAAAAATAAAAAAAAATGGGCTACATATCTAATGTTATATATTCATAAAAATAAATATTGGGTACATTTCTAATATTATACATTCATTGTCAATGATGGAAATGTAATATAAAATTTTGTGTCAACCTAGAAATTAAATTATTTTCCTTTTTGGGTTTTGGTCAGTGGTTTGGGTAAAATGCATTAACCGATGATATGATAGTTAAATAATAAATCTTTAAAAAATAAAAAAGTACAAGTAATCAAAAGAATATATTAAAAATTATATATTAATTATGTCAAACAAAAATTAAGTATGATAAATAAAAATTATTTATATGATATAGATGATATATAATTTAAAAAAAATCTGAAAGTAAAGCTATTTTCTTATCTAAATGGTGGGTTAATGATCCAACTTTTCAAAGAAATTCATGATGTCATAATTGAATAATAAATATTTTAAAAAAGATAGAACACAAACAATGAAAAGGTACATAATTCTATTGCATTTGAGAACATTTACAATGTTATATATTCATCATAATAAATAAAAATATTTGTTAAAATAAAATTTATTTTTATTTATGGCAAAAATGGAATAAAATAATAATAATAATAATAATAATAATAATAATAATAATAATAATAATAATAATAATAATAGTTGTTATTGTAATTTAAAATTTCCACATGCAATGCACATGCACATTTACTACAAGCATTTGAGTTTATTTTTAATCATATTCTTACTTTTGTTAGTTTTCATTTCTTATCTTAATTATGATATATCTAAAATTCAAGTAATTAATATGAAAAAAAGTTTCTCACATGTGTGCTTAATCACTAGTGATGATAATTTTATATTTCTTTCACCTTTAGGCTCCATTTGTTTTCGGTTCAATTTCAATCACATTAGTACACATGCATGAGAGTTCAAAATGAGTAGAATTAGAAATGCAATTTGGGTCATTTTTACTCTAGGTTTCACTTTATTTTGCATCATGTTTTATTTTATTTCATATGCAATGTAAACAAATGAAAACAAAGAGATACAGTTTGTTTTGCACTCTACATATTTGCATTTGTATTCCTTCCAAACTGAGCCTAAGGCTGTGTTTGGAAACGATGCAAATGGAGTGTAAATCTCAGTTCAGGGTAAATTTGCACTCTAGTTCACTTTTGCCTGTGTTTGGCAACATTACATTTATTCATTGACAAATGACAAACCAATGTATATTTATATTGATAATAAGATGTAAAAGTACATCAACAAAAAAGAAGTAAATTTGCATTCAAGTGGGCTTTTGATTAAAAGAAAAGCATATGCTTTATTGAATTTCATGTTTGCATCAATTACAGTTAAAAGTCTGTTTGGTAAGAAGGTAAATTTGTCAATGCAAAACTAACCCAACTTTACAATTTATATGAACCGTTTTACACTCTACATAATTGCATTCACACTTATTTGCATTGTTTCCAAATGCAGCCTAAAGAACAAAAGTTTATTAAATATATGTTCAAATCATTTACCAAGTTTAAAGTATCAATATGATACACCTGATATGGGGCACATTGTAATAGGGGTGTTGATTAAAAACAAAAAATAAGGAACTAAATTGATGAAACCAAACTGAAAAAGGTCCACGATTTGATTAACCGAATTATAAGCACCCTATATCATAAAGGTGGTAGGAGTGCAATGATACTGGTTGATTAGTTACAAGTTCTTTTAGTATAGTCAAACCCCACTTTTATATAACCATATTGTGCTTCATAACAATTTAAGATTATATGTGTACATGTGTAATAAAAAACATTTTTATATAAATATAATTCATATATGTATGCTTTCGTTCAAATGTGTTCGGGTTGGGTTGAGCTAGACTTGGCTACCAAGGGCATAACCCAAACCCACGCCCAACCCCAATTTAAGTGAGGGATGAGGTTTTTAGCCCAGCCCCAGCCCGCAGCCAGAAAATATAGGTCTAATTTGTGCAAAAATTCGGGTTGGGCCCAAATTGCAGGTCTATATATCGGTTTCGAAAGTTACTGACATGAAAAATAATGAGATTTGAGATATTAACAGTTTGAGACTTTGAGCTGTTAACATCCAGCCTAACATACAAACAATTATGCTCAGAGCACAAATATAAATATATACAGTGCAAAACCTTTATATATTGTATTATAAATTTTGTATTTGGAGTGTATATATTTGTATTTGTATTATTACCAAATTGGGCCATTAGGCTCAGTTTGGAAAGAGTACAAATACAAATATTTAGGGTATAAATGTATATAAAATAATACAAAATATTGAGTTTTGTACTCTGTATATTTGCATTTGTACTCCTTTTAAACCAAGCATTTAAGGAAAAAGGAATATAGAGCAATTGGCACACACAATACTCATAGTGCCTTTTGGGGAGAATTCTTTATTGGGATTTTGAGAGGGGGGAAGTTTGAGGAAGAAAACAATGTTCTTTTTCTAGATTTATGTGAGGACCAGGGAATGTTTATTTTCCTAGTACCCATCTAGGGGAAAGTTACCAACACTTGGATGAGACAAAAATGCCCCTTTTAATAATGGATTTTTTATGGATAAAATGGTCATTATATTATTTACCTAGGCTCAATTTGGAAGGAGTAAAAATGCAAATAAATAAAGTACAAAACCTTATATTTTATATGCATTTGCACTATACATATTTTCATTTGTACTCTTTTCAAACTGAGTCTTAGGAAATAAAAGAGCATGGGTACATACACTTATCCAAGTAAATGTTTCCAAGAAAATACTTACCCGAGTAAGTAACTTACCAAAAAGCAAACTGAGCTTTGATATTTTGAACCTTGATTTACCCTTTTGCTTAATTTGGAAAGAGTACAAATGCAAATATGTATAGTACAAAGTAAGGTTTGGAAACACAAAATATAAGGTTTTGCATTGTACATATTTGTATTTGCACTATTTCCGAACTGAGCCTTTGTAATTTTGCACCAATGCAAATAAACCAGACCTTACGAGTCAAAATAATGAAACATCCCACTCAATTTTGTCTCTCTCATGTTGCACTTCCCAAGTTGCCACTAAGAGAAGAAACAATTTGTAATATATATATATATATATATTCAATTTATTATATTATTTTGTTCTAATTTTATTGTAATTTTTTATTTTCATATATAAATAATTATATATATTAAAATTCATATGAAATAAAATTTTAATTTTTTTAATTTTAATTTCTTATTTATTTTGTTAATTTATTTTAAATTTTTATTTTTTTATTTTTAAATTTTTTTTAGAACGGACCGTTCACTTGAACTGGACAATTGAACCATCGTTCCAAAAATTGGTGGCCAGAACGGTTCCATTTCCGAAAGTTTTTTTTAAAACCATGCATGACACGACCCGCGGGTGGCCTGTGCATTGGTGGGCTAGGTCGGACCATGCTTGCTACCTATGGGATATTTCAAAAGTCTAGCACAGTACGGGCCCAAGTGGGCCTGGGCCATTATGCGGATTAAGCCAAGCCATGAGAGGTATATTTTTTTAAAAAAATTGAAAAAATAATGAAATATTTAAAATAAATTAAAAAAAGAAACAAAAATATGAAAAAAACTTAGAATTTATTTTTTTTGAATTTTGATGTACTGAGCCGTATCGGGCCATGCCACATGCTGGCACGGCTCGATTTACAGCTCTAGATGCACGGCTGCAAAAGGCTGTGAACACGGTGTGAGGACGCTTTTGTGATTCCTGAATCCGGTTCCGGTTCAGCCAAACTTGTACCAAGCCGAAGTATTGCTCGAACTCGATTATTCGAATATTTTCGTCTGGATGCAAATTTCCCGCCAATTCCCTTTAAACAAATTATTTTCGCGACCGAAACCCTAGCTCTAGCTGTTCTTTCCGTAAGCTCCATCTCTACTGTTATGCTATAGCTCTGTCTGATATCGTTATTTTCAATCTTTTTGCTGTTGTTTCTATAATACAAAGTCAAAAGCAATCTCAAATCTCTTAATTTCGATTTCTAATTGTTTCTCCAGAATCACTGAAGCCTCTGTTTCAGATGTTCATGTCCTCCTTATTCCCACTCTTTCTTATATAGATATATATTAGTAATAAATTAGTATATTACTTTGGTTGTTCGTTGCGGTTTCTCTATGAACTGAAAGATTTTACGGGAGTTCATGTTTCCATCGTCATCCCTTTGGTCAAGCTAGCTCGACTCGGTGGAAATTATAAATTGGTGGTACATTACTCCACAATACCTCGAGCTCAAGAAAACCGAATTGCTCAAGGAATAGAATGCAAGCCAAGATTAGTGCCTTCTTCAAGCCTGCTGCACCCAAAACCCCTGATCCACCTCAAATTTTCGATCAAACTGAAGGTGAAGATGCATTGCCCTCCGAAAAGCCCATCTCGGAAATTCTAGTTACATATAGGCGTCGAACTCCGAAGACGGATTACTACTGGTATTGATTCTTTTTCATGGAATTGATTTCTTATTTCAAGATTTGGCGTTTTGTCTGCTAATAGCGCTGGCTTTCAGACCCATTGTCAATTACTAAAATTTGGTTTATTGTTTTGAGAAAAAAAAGAAATCAGATTTTGGGCTCTCTCCTTTTAGGCGATTCCAATCAGTGAGACACAGTTACTGGAAATAGAAATTCTAAATTTAGCCGTTCAGATTTTAATTATCTCCTGATCTTTTTGATATTACTGCACACTCTTTAATGAGTAGATACTTTGTTTCCTGTGCTGGATGATTAATTAAGAAACTAGAAGATTTTGTTTGTTCTGCCTCTTCTTAAGCACATTAGAGTTTGATTTAGAGAAACATATTTAGGTGCTCTCTCCATCTAAAACTCATCTTCTGGAGCACTTTTCCAAATTTTTACTGCATTCTTGTTTACTAAAATAACAAGGTCTATTTTTCTTTTGTCGTGGGAAAAAATCCTAAATTCCTAACAGTATTTTGATCCCATTTTCTGGTCTTCTGCAGCAATGATGAATGCAAAGAGCCAAGGATTGAGGAGGCCTCAGTTGATTTAAATCCAACTGATTGTCCTGTAGAACCAGCCCCTGGCTCAGATAGACTCCTAAACAAGAAGAGAAGTTATGCTCAGTTTCATTTGGAGTTTGGGCAGTCTGACTTCCTTCTCCATACTTGCTCTGTATGTGGGCTAAAATATGCTCGTGGCGACGAAGGAGATGAGAAAGTTCACAAGGAATTTCACAGGAATTATACTCAGGGACTCCAGTTCAAGGTACTTGAAGATTTGTGTCTGGTTGTATTCAATTTGTATGTCCTCTTGTGCCTTCTACCTACTCTATCTTATCATATTTCATCCAATTAATAGGGCTGGCGCAATGAAAGAGTCATTCCAGTGCCTTCTGTTGATGGGGCCCGCATTATTATGATGTTAGATGGTGACCCACCTGCTCAAAGAAACAAGGTTCTACTTCCTCATCCATATCTTCTGGTGCTTGATGTTTGCACCAGCTTTTCTCTGTGCTTCTCCTAGAAATACAGTTAAGAAAACAAAATCCAATCAAATTTGGGAACTTGATTGCTAGCTCTCCTCTTTACAGGTTCAGGAAGTAGTGAAGATGATGGAAGTGGAACTTGGATTGACAGATGACTGGCTTATTCATAAATTTTGCAAGGTATACATTAAATTCTGTTCTCTTACAGGACTCGTACTTTCCGACCATGTTAACACAGTGACTTTATGTAATTTCTGGGATATCATTTTTGCAGGTTTATCTGTATATTCTCTCTCAGAGGATTGCTGGTTGCCTAGTTGCAGAACCAATAAAAAATGCCTACAGAGTTCTCTCAGATTCAGTGGCTCTAAAAAGATCGGGTGGTAACAATGCTGAGAAGTCTAAATCAAAAAATCCCATACTTCAATTTGGAGATGTTAATTTTCAGAGGGAATATACAAAAAGAGTCCCCTGTGTTAATAGTACTGGAAGGACTGAGGGGGAAATAAATGGAGCAATGTTTTGTGAAAAGGAAGCTGTACCTGCTCTCTGTGGTATTAGAGCAGTTTGGGTTACACCCTCAAACAGAAGAAAACGTATTGCTACTCAATTACTGGATGCTGCAAGGTAGGTTGACTGCCTGCTATTCCTAACCTGTGATCATCTCTATTTTTCCATCTCCTTCCTGGTTGTGTTTCAATATTTCATAGGTTTGGTTTTAGTTCAACTGTTCAGTCCCAGCACAAAAGCAGAACTAAATAACTGCCATTTCTAGGAAAAAGTTGAACCTGGATTGGCCATCCAGTTCAGTTAGAGGCAGTTGATCTGGATGAACCTGAATGAACTGATGATATGCCCTTCAATTGTTGACTAAAGGAGAAAAAGACTTAAAAAAGATGGATCAATATCCATTTATGATTTTCATTAAAAATAAATAAATAAATAATACCCATTTATGCCCTCTTGAAGTGATAACATAAGCTTTCTACCTTTTGGCTTGGCCATGTGGTGAGAAAGGCTCTCAACTATAATGAACAGAGTCACTATCACTTGATGCTTTGTACTTTATTCTTTGAGCTGGCTTTTGGAAAATATATCAACCTATCATCTCCATTTTCTTGGCTATTTTGGATTTTGAAGATCAATTATCCTTAATATATTTTTTTCCTGTAAGAATTCCTATAGGAATTAGGGACCATTACTTGGTGTAAAGGTAACATCTTGGGCCAACAAGCATGAGAACATGATTTCAAGTCTGAGAATAACCACTTCGTGCAAGAAAGTGTTGAAGGTTAGGTTTCTATCCAGTCCATCTGTCCCAAGACCCCAGATTACTGGGACAAACACTGGGTAATGGCCCTTTAATTCTTTTGGAAAATCATTTCTATAGATTTTGAAAGTAATTCCAGGAGTTGGAATCTTTACCTACTTTTTTTTCTTAATCAATGTTTTATTTCTGTTCTATGTAGGAAGAGCTTCTGCATGGGTTTTGTCATGGAACAATTTCAGTTGGCATTCTCTCAGCCAACTGCTGCTGGAAAGGCATTGGCATCCAGTTACAGTGACCGTGAATCCTTTTTAGTCTACAAGTCTGGTAGATTGGTTTAATAATTGTTATTAAATTTTGTAATAGTTTTTCAATTCTTCCCTGGATTTTCCATGAAATGGCTGTAGAACATGGAAACTCTGGTCAATTTAACCATTTTCATTAACTGTTAATATCCTAATTCAATATCAAACATCAGGTTGAAACTTGAAAGGTCAATTGCTAGTTCGGTTAAGTTCTTATCATCTTTTTTTTTTTTTATTTATTTAATGTAAGTTTGCAATCTAATTACTAATTACTATTTACTACCAACTCAGTTGGACGCTATTAGAGGATGGCTCACGTTCAGCTTGAGAATTCACAGGCATCTCCACCTAAAGAATTCCAAACATAATCAAATCAAATAATTGGGGGAATGCAACCATGCGTGTGTGTATTTTCTTTAATAATCAAACCTCAACCACTGATTTTTTTTTTCCTCTTAATCATGAAATATCAAAATTAATTGGAAATAGAAGTATCACAAATGAAAGTGTTATGTATACGATATCAAGGTTTTAAATTTTTGAATTGTACTTATTTTTGACCCTTCGTCTATGATGAATTTTTTCAAAATTGGGTACTTTGTATACTTTTTGTTAAAATTAAATTAGAGTGGGTCCTATGGTAAAATCACCTTTATTTTCTTAGGTAAAATTTACCCATCTCCTAAATGGGTAGTTAACTTTCCCACTTGGGAGAAACTGTGATCATTTTGTTCATTTTAATACTAACTTTTTATGGGTAAAAATTCATTTTATTACTTACCTAGGAATCATGTAAATTAAAATAACATGGGTAAGTGAATTGATTCAAGTATATGTTAACTAAGTAACTTGTAAAACCGTGAACGAATAAGGCCCAAAGGATAAAGATATAAGTTAACATTATTTAATCAAATTAAGCTTTTATGACCTACACTAGAACAAGGCAAATATCCGCTTTATAATAGTGTGGACGAATAGATAAAACTTTGGAATGGGATTATATACTTATGTAGGGGTAGGGATGTCAACGGGTCGGGTTTGGCATGGGCTTGCCTTAACCCTAACCTGACCCTCCAGCACCCTAACCCAAACCCGACTCAACTCGACCTAGCTAAAAAAATACATAGTTCCCGAACCCAACCCAACCCTATAGGGTGTAACCCGATTTCGACTTGACTTGACATGTATAATTTCAAATGTATTTTTTAACACGTTTTGAAGACCTAAAATATATTAATTTAAATTAAGAAATTGTTTTATAGATTCTAAGGTGTTACTTTTTCCAATTAAAAAAGGAGAAAATCAAAATCATGTAAATAAATTATAAGCTTTAAGCCTATGAAGTTAGAAGTCAAAAAATTGCTAGAATACTCATATATATGCAGAGTATCATGACCTAGTGGGGTGGGTCAGCCTAAACCTGAACCCGACTCGGGTCAAAGAACCAAAACCCTAACCTAACCCTATACTCTATAGGGTCGGATCAAGCCAGGTTTACCATTTAACCCGATCTATTGACATCCCTATGTAGGGGTGCAAGTCGGGTGGGCTGGGTTCAGGCTTTAGCTCAATTTAGCCCTAACCCTAAGAATTTGGGTTAAAGCCTGAACTCGGCTTGAGCCTATGGTTAAGCCTGAACTATTCAGTTTGAGCCCAACCCACACTAAAATCATTCTTTCTAACTAATTTTGATTCCAATTCTGAAACCAAATAGGGAGGAGGAATAAACCATTCCAATTCGGATTCTAACTATGAACCAAATGAATAATTCTTATATTGTAACCCTGATGAGAAGTTGCCATCAATGGTTTTCATTCCATAATTTTCTATGTCTTATTATTGTTGATTTTATGATTTTAGATTTATAATTCAAATAAACTTTAATCATTTGAAACATTTATTTACTTTTTCATTCTATTGAAGGAACCAATAAAAGCATCAAAGAAGTAAATACTAATAAAAAATAAGGTCAAGGTCATAAAAATTGAGAGATTTTATGAAATTTTAATATGATGGAAAAAAAGTTGGGGCTAAGCCCACATCGGATTAAGGTTTAGGAATTTTAAATTGGGTTAGAATTCATAATTAGGGCTGCAAATGGATTGAATCAAATAAGACATTAGTAGATCTAAATTTGTTTTGTTTATAATCAAATTCCAATCAGATCAAATCCACCAGATGTTAAATAGTACAAATAAGTTAAACTAAAACTGATCAAATTATTATTATTATTATTATTATTATTATTATTATTATTATTATTATTAATTTATCATTATTGTTGTTGTTATTATGAACTAAAAAGGACTTTAATGTTATATTTCATGAATAAAATGAATTAAAAATTACTTATATAAAATTGAAGCAATGGCAATTTAATAAAAACACAACATTTAGAGCAACTTTATTAATAGATATTGATGATGCACGATCTGGCCGGTCTTAGCTGTCGATGATCTTGCCTCTGAACTGAGTAACAGGGACCTGAAACGG